ATTGGGCCATAATTAAACAAATCCATCATTTTGCAAACAAGGTGCTATTACAAAGGTCAATTTGAGCGAAAATGCAGTGTGTTTTGCAAATATAAATAAAATGAGCCTAGATAATATTTCACAAATACATACAAACCATCCTACAAATTATAACCTTGTAAACAGCAGATGGCGCTAAGCCAGGGGGTTAATTTAGCCTAGTCAGGGAGAAACACTGATTTGAATCGCGTGCTTGCCTTTGCATACATACAGCTGTGGAAAATGACCAGTGAACAGGTGTGTCTCTGTCTCACTTTATCTATAATTAATATTTTTGAGGTTTTCTTTTGCAAAATGTTATTATATCTAGTCAGAAATCCACATTTACCACTTAGTAGCACTTCACTCTCTCAAGCATTGGGGAATCTATAATCTGCCATCATGTTGCTTTTTTACATTTTTGTAAAAAAAAACAACTTACATTTAGTCCATTTCTTTTGTTCTCCATGAATTAATTAGAACATTTCATTTAAATACTGCAAATCTATTTTGTACTTCAATGCACTTTGAATTTTTTTTTATAGAATTATACTCTAAAATTAGTCAAGTGATATTTTGCTATGGCACTCTTGTTAATTGTTTAAAATAGTGAAAACTCAAAATCTGTTAAACCTCCAAATTGTGAGTGAATATTTCTGTTTGTTGTTCAGGAGTGTTTGGTGTTGATGCCGTGAAGTCAGTGTCAGTGACTGAGGGAGAATCTGTCACTCTAAACACTGATACTGAAATACAGGCAGATGAACTGATACTGTGGAGTACTGGACACAACAACAGTCTCATAGCTAAAATGAAAGAAAAAAAAGATAAGACAGATTTTCTTGAGAGATTCAGAGACAGACTGAAGCTGGATCATCAGACTGGATCTCTGACCATCCTGAACACCAGAACCACAGACTCTGGACTTTATAAAGTCACCAGCAGCACCAGATCAGAGACACCGCTCAACATATTCAATCTTACCGTCTATGGTGAGTAGAGAACTATAGATTTTAAGAAAATAAGCATCTTAATACTTTTTAAACCTGGAAAAGCATATCAAATACCTAGGCAAATAAACAGATAAATACCATTTTCCCACACACAATTTAACAATTACAAATTGATTGGAAATTAAGCATAATCAAAATAGTCTGTGACACTTCCATGATTTACATCATGTCTCATGCACCTTCCTTCAATACTTGTATATCATTCATCCTCATTTATCCATGTTCTCTCCTATTTTCCAGCTCGTCTGCCAGTTCCTGTCATCAGCAGAGACTTTTCCATTCTCAGACTGTCCCCAAATTGTTCATTGTTGTGTTCAGTGTTGAATGTGAGTCATGTGACTCTGTCCTGGTACGCAGGAATGAGTGTATTGTCCAGCATCAGTGTGTGTGATCTCAGCATCAGTCTCTCTCTACCTCTGGAGGTGGAATATCAGGATAAAAACACCTACAGCTGTGTGCTGAACAATCCCATCAGCAACCAGACCACACATCTGGACATCAACACACTCTGTCCAGGTCTGTATATAATAAAGAAAAAGGAATTGATCACCTGTGCCCACGTGACAATGAATAACCAATAATAAATATAAAACAATTAATGCTCCTACATTATTCCGGCCCCATGATTATTCCCATGCCCCATGATTATAAACTAATCTCATGATTAATCATCACCAATTACCAACAATAATAAATACATTAACAATACAAACCACACACACACACACACACACATATATATATATATATATACTTCTGAAAGTCATATAGTGCTGATATTTCATATAGTGTTTTTGTAGCATATTGACAGGTTCATTCATGTTAATGTTTCATTTTGTTTATTTCAGATCAGAGCCCATCAACCTTGTATATAGTGCTGATCTCTGCTGCTGCATTTCTGTTGATTGTTTTTGCTGTCGGAATCTTCTGGATTTGCAGGAAAACAGAACAAGAGGGCAAGTAAAATTACTCTCTGCTGAAACATCTGTAAAACTACATGTTTTTAAGTAAGGAATTATTGACACTGAATGAGCAGACTATTGCTACTTTTAATTGTACGAGCAAGGCAAGGAAAGTTTAATTATATAACACATCTCATACACTATATGGTAATTCAAAGTGCTTCACACAGAAAGGAATTAAAACAATCACAAAATAAAAATTAAAACAGTTACGAGGAGTAATTCACTAATGAGTTTGCCAATGTAACCTTAACAGGGTTTGTTGTTGTGGGAAGAAGGAGGCATGAACCGGCGAACATTTAAACATTTTAACTGTAAAATGAACAAATACAAAACGAAAGTATAAGCCAGCAGCCCCTCATTGACAACTGTTGTCCACACATAACAGAAACAAAACACAACATCAAATTCGGCCTGTTTCTCTCTCAACCTGCCGTCGTCGTTCCTAATTTTATGCTTCAGATGCATCTCTGTCTTTCATTATCACTCACGCCACCAGCCTCACGCCATCCTCTCACATCCCTCGCCCCTCACCCTCGTCCTGCTCGCCACAGCCAACTAACTAGAAATTTTGTGTGAAATGAATTTCAAACTTTGGGGGCAGCTAACGTTAGCTTTGTAGACGCGTGATTTGTCTAATGTTTAAGCTGTTCTGCATTAGTGGGAGTGGCTTGCGGAGATGTGCAATGTGGTGCATTGTGGGAGTTGTTGTCTTATACAAATGCGCCCCTCAGTCATTCTTTTCTCGGTCAAGAGGGCACCAAATAAAAAAATTATTTTACATTTCGACTACATATATGATCCACTTTCAATAAAGATTAATGTTGCAATGGGTGAAATGCTCCTTTAAAAACCTTATTACTTTTAATTTAATTATTTGGAAATAGGACACTTGTACCAGTCGCACTTGTAGACATTTCAAATAATACTAAACTCATGTATAAAACTTTATGATAGTTGTTCAAGTTAAAACCATTATATATTATTGTGTGAGTGTGGGTGATCTCGAGGGGAAGAAGTGTGTGTATTTGATGTTCAAATGTTAATTTGCAAGTAAGGTCCTTCGTCTCATAGACCTGTGGTCAGTACCAGCACCAAAGCGCAAACAAATCTGCCCCAAACTATTTATTATCCGCGTGCTGCTACTGCTGTTGTTGGCTTTGGATAGAGGGAGAAGAATCGGAAATTACACATATTGCGTCTTAAGGTTGTCTGTGTGTTGCTGTTTACATCGGGATATTGCCAATTGATTACAAATTCCATGTATAATACATTACAATCAAAATGAAATTGTGTGATTTCAGAGAGGTTTGACACTTAGGCCTAATTGAAGACAACATTATGTTAACCGAGAACTGAAGTGTTTGTTTACTAACCAAAAGAGAGAAGTAGGTTAGGCCTACTTACTGCTAATTCAGTGGTGAGAATTTATTTGTTGTTTTATATTGTTGTCCATTTATAGAAACTTCCATATACCTCTTATAGTAATTATATATTACTATCAATTTACTAATGCTCGGACACACTTGGTCTCTCGCTGTCGATCGCAGAGTTCGCTTCGCTTTTGTCCAGTCCGGCGCCTTATAAGCCCCTTTTCCACCAAAGCATTTTGAGAGCCGGTTCGGAGCCGGTGCCTGCGCGCGAACCAGTTCTTTGTGTTTCGACAGCCAAAGAACCGGTTCGCGGCCGGGAAAACTGGTTCCAAAGCAGCACCATCTCTTTGCTGGACTAGAACCGTTCTTTTAATAATAATAATAATTCATTACATTTATATAGCGCTTTTCTCGACACTCAAAGCGCTTTACATAGAGGGGGGATCTCCTCAACCACCACCACTGTGCAGCATCCACCTGGATGATGCGACGGCTGCCATAGTGCGCCAGAACGCTCACCACACACCAGCTTACTGGTGGAGAGGAGACAGTGATGAAGCCAATTGGTATAAATGGTGATGATTAGGAGGCCATGATGGACAGAGGCCACTGGGCAAATTTGGCCAGGATGCCGGGGTTACACCCCTACTCTTTCGAAAGACATCCTGGGATTTTTAATGACCACAGAGAGTCAAGACCTCGGTTTAACGTCTCATCCGAAGGACGGTGCTTTTGACAGTATAGTATCCCCATTACTATACTGGGGCATTAGGACCCACACAGACCACAGGGTGAGCACCCCCTGCTGGCCTCTCTAACACCTCTTCCAGCAGCAACCTGGCCTTCTCAGAAGGTCTCCCATCCAGGTACTAACCAGGCTCAGCCCTGCTTAGCTGCAGTGGGCAACCAGTCTTGGGCTACAGGGTGATATGACTGCTGACGAGTTTTACCACGTCATGCTTACGTCGGGGGCTGGGGCGGGTTTAGATGTGTTCTAAACATATTTTCTGACCATCGCAAAGCCAGGAGAAACTACAGAAACACGCAAGCGTTTTTATTTATTTAATTTTTTTATTTGAAACAAAGAAGAAAACTGTCACGATACAGAACAAATAAATGGAAAGAAAAAAAGACAAGACAGGGGTACTTAACTTATCAGAAAAGATTACATATCAAACAAAAAGATTAAAAGACTTTCATATTTCAATTGTTTTTAAAGTTTTCTTGGTACACGAGTTAGAGATAATCCCAAAGCAATGTACTTGCAAGCTTTTCTAGCGACGTGCACAGTGACATAACGACGCCGTTCCCTGGGCGCTCTAGTCAGTGGAAAAACAAACAGGTTCTGAACGGGTTCGCAAGTTGAACCAACTCCGAACCAACTTTGAACCAGCCCCAGTTCCGAACCAGTTCTTTTTTCGGTGGAAAAGGGGTAATAGACAAACTCTCTCTCTCTGTGTGTGTGTGTGTGTGTGTGTGTGTGTGTGTGTGTGTGTGTGTGCGCGCGCGCGCGCAATCGAGCATTCAACAGCCCCAGTATAATATTAAAATAATGTAAACGTGTTGCAGAAAAAGCACAACAATAATTCTCAAACACATTCAGTTTTTTAACAGTCTGTCATTATATTGTTCAAACAGTTCAGCGTGGTGAAGAAATAACATATGCTGATCCTACATTCTACAAAAGAAAAGCTCACAAATCGGTAAGATAAGTTAGTCTATTTTTTATTTGTTGTGTGTGTGTTATTTCAGCCAGATTAAGTTTTTCATCATTTCATAATTTTACATATTTCCAGATCAAATGCTGATAACGCCAGACCATGTATCATTGAGAATGAGACGTGGTCTGGAAACCACGGCTGCGTTCAGCCCGGACAAAATGTTGCACAACGTTTTTTAAACAGAAACGGTGATGCGTTGAACTCTCCGTTCTGATGACGCAAGAGTTGCAACTATGGAGCCCGATAAGGCCATTCTCAGTGTTCTTTGTGAAAAATTTTCGGAGCCTGATGAAGTCGGTATAAATGTGTTTAATATTACAAAATATACCCGATGTTACAGTAACTGCACTTGCTGCCCAGAACACAAGAGAACATCAAGTGAAGGGATTTGTGGAAACTGAAAGCACACATCTTACCTAATTCAGACTAAAACACATTCTGTTTAGCCTCACACACTAACTTTATTTGTATTTCATAATGTTTTAATAACCTATTTTCTTTCTCATTTTTAGGAAAAGCACTTACCATTTTTTATTTCTATACCAAATGTCATACACTTGCAATGAAGCTAAAAAATATAATAAACTACATCATGTTGATATCCTATATTTTTACAATAAATGACAAACATATCTTCTAATATCCTCAGTTGTTGCATATATCGATCTGCATTGAACACATTTGTAAATTATTTTCCTTAACCCATTGTGCGAGTTCACTTTAATACCGCGTGCTTTACACGTTGCTGCTGATTGGATTGCAGTTCTGACACACCCACCAAACGAGAGAAAACATATTTCAAACCCCGTTGCACACCGGTGCACACCGTTTCCTGGAAACATGACGTTCAACTAGGAAACCGTAGCAAAACGTTGCGCACCGTTTTGAACTTGAATGTGCCCCAGATGTTCATTTTCTAGTATTTGAGGCGTGGTTTACGCATGTACAGTGGCGTATCCAGGACATTTTTCGGGGGGTGGCCAAGATGGGACACAAAGCTAGAGTGGGGTGGCCATGGCATAGCGAAGTTAAATGCGTATATGTACGCAGCCGACCATGGGTCAAATCCCGGTCCTTTGCTGCATGTCACATCCTCTCTCTCTCCCATGATTTCCTTTCTCATAACTGTCAAATAAAGGTGTCTATCCTGTTAAAAACAGTCCTAACCACCAATCACAGACAGTCCTCAAGTATCTCTGGTTATTTTAACATGTCTATTTTTAATCAGTAATTATGGTCAGGATAGGGTAAATATTTTCTAAGAACTATTTTCTTGTAGTGGATTTAAGTCCTTGTCACTTCACAAGTTAGATTAGATTAGCAAAATTAAACTGCTCTTAACTCATCCTATAGAATAACATGTATCAGTCGTCAACTCATCATCTGTGTCACCTGTATTGTTACCTGAGTTTGCTTTACTAATTGAGGCACCATCTTGTGGTTACATGAAAAAACACAGAAATCCAACAGGACAAACCAACATGCTTAAAGATAGGACCTTATTCAAAAGTGTATCTGTAAAAGCAAAAGAAAAAACTAAGTTTGTGAGAAAAACAAAACAAAATATTTGTTGTTCTTTACATGCTTAGTTTATGTTATTATTTAGCTTTGATATAATTTGTTAGAGATACTGGAATTTGAATTTCTTAGTTTGTTCTTTGCTAGGAGTGTTTTTATTTAACCACAAGAGGGGACTTAAATAAGTAAAGCAAACACAGGTAACACAGAGAATAGCCTGATGACTGAATAATTTCATTAGGATGCCTTGTGATGTATGAAAATGTGCAAAAAGTGTTTTTCAACCCAGACAGTATTCATGTCCAAGGCCTTGATGAAAATATAAATTGAAACGTTGGCTTTGATTCAGCATACATTAATACGTTTTTAAAATCAAACAGTTAAGACTCAAAATCATAAATAGTCAAGATGCTTCTTCATAATTTAACTTATGACATTTATGCCATTTTAATGCAATTTACTCTGCCTATTTAAACTTCTAAAAATATATGTGGACTGTGAGCTAATTGATACAAACAAAAAGTCCTTTTTTAAACACCCCTTAAACCACAGAGCAAATAAATAAGTCACAGCTTGTTTTTTTTGTGTTTTAACTTAAATCTACTCTCACACTATATTTAACACAGTGGTTGGTTGGCGAAAAATATAACATTAGCTATAATTGAACACACACATCTGCAAAAACCACCATCTGTCTTCCAGAAAATAGCGTTTTATATTTCATGGCGATGTATGAGTGGAAATAAGGTGTGGCCCCTTTAAGAGTTCTCTTTACCGTCTGCACTCTCTCAGGATGCTAATCTAGCTAGTACAGTGTAGTTCGACTTTTTCAGTTTTCCTACACATTCACAGGGAACTACGATATAACTAAACATTAAATTATCATACCTCTCAATCTACAGATTCCCGCGTTTTTATCGTTGTATTTTGTTGCTGTTGTAAGACCGTCGATCTGTTTCACGGAGGAGCAGCAGCCCGCGCGCGCATCTCATTAGTAACCTGACCTGCATGGCCAAAGTCCGCTGAGCAGAAATCAGCTCTCAGAGCCTCAGTATGACTATTACTGTGTTGTTAAAAAAGGTAAAACTGGACCTAAATCGGTTGATCAGCTGTCACCATTGATTGACAGCATTTTTCTTGTTTCTTGTGTTGACGAACTTGACCAACTACCTATCAGATCTGGGGTGGCCACAGGGGTGGCCAATGAGCTTTCAGGGGTGGCCCTGGCCACCCCAGGCCACCCCCTAGAATCGCCAGTGCGCATGTACAGAGCCATTTATTGGGTGCTATGAATGTCTATCAAATGCACCTGTACGTAGCTCATAGCCAATCAGTTCAATGATACCAGATGACGTATGTGGAGCGACAGTAAATTAGACGATGAAGACGATGAATGATGGGTCAGAGATTTAGGAGATTTATGTATACACAAAACGTGTTTCTCAATGTCAAGGATACTTCCTTGGCAGGACAGGTCCTTCCAACTCATTTCCTTCAGAGGCTACGAGTATGGCAGCAAATCTATGTCAATAAGGACCGAGCGCACAACTGATGCTGGCGCACACGGACTTTCGCGAGAGGAAAACAGATCCACACGCAAGGAAGCAGGGACTCGCGAGCTCATTCATATCCTGTGCGCGATCGTGACATATCCTCTACAAGGCTTGATCTGCTCTCGCCTGCTGCTTTTGCTCGCTCGAACAAATGTTATTTTTGACAGTCGAGGGGCGGGACTCCACTTTTCCGGAAGTCAATTGTGATTGGACGTTGGACTGGGCGATATATCGAACGATAGAGAATGAGGAGTCACGTGCCTATTTGGGCGGGGTCTGAGCCAGTCGGCCATGATGGTAGGAGATGCTATCAGTTAACCAGGGGCAACGCATTTAGAACCCATAGACGCGACTAAACATTCCAGAGCTATTTAATTTTCGTGCATTTATTATTTTGGCAGGACAGAGACGGATCTAAAAATACGAGAAAAAAAAAGGAAGAAAGTAAAGCAATGCAAAAAGATAAGGCGAAAGAAAAGGGACCTTACAGGAACAAACTCACACAAAGTGCAAAACAGCTGTATTTGGAGAAGCAGCATCGATATATGTGTTCTTTTGCACTAATAACAGTATTATTATTTTATTATTATTACTTATGTTGTCCATGAAACTTATGTTGTCCAAATAGCCTATTTCAGTTCTCAATATTGTTAGGCCATATCAAGTTGTTTCAAACATTTATTTAAATGAAATAAAAAAGTAATGAACAAGGCACTCAAACAACACTTTTGCATATGTTCGTTAAGGCACAGCAAACAGTGAAAATCGTAAAGGCATCAGCCAACCCATCAATCCGGCGTCTCCTCGTCTGTCAGGTCAGAGTTTCTCCCTGATGCTGTGTCCATTTCGGTAACCCCAAAAACTGTATTCCATTGTTCCCATGTTTTCCAAATGTCTCGTGTGAGTTACTGGAGGAGTTTTTTAATGCAGCAGTTACTTCCAGGCATGGTAAAACAGTGCGGCATTGCGAGAAACTCCTCTACTACAGAGCTAAAAACACAAGTAATTAATACTGTTTGCCGTGGGAATCCTACCAACATGGCGGAGAGGGGAGGGGCTCTGTACAATGACGTCAACTCCTCATTCTCAATTGTTATGCGCATCTAATCAGTAAAGCCGGTTCCTTGATTAGTAGTAAATCACCTTCACTTGCTTTCAGATGGATGATATGATGCAGATATGAGTGTTAAATTAACACTGAAGAGTGTTAATGTTGTAAAGGCTCCTTTAAGAGAGGACTTTTATTCTGACATCGGAAATCATTCTCAGACTGAGCGCTTGTGAGTGAAACAGCTGCTGCCTGCTGCTGATTATGTTGCGCCGATCGCTGAGGGGACATTGTCACCTGTGATATTTGCTCCTTAAATTACCTTGAGGTGTTAGTCATTGACCTACAAGTAAGCATATTTTCCTTATGTTTGAGTTTAAAGAGTTTATATAGTTTATAGAATTTGAAATGTTTAGTTATCACTGCCTCACGGACGCATGTCCAGACATGCCCTCAGCTTCTCTTAGTTTAGCTCAGTGACGCGGTTCTATATGTGATTCTTCTTCTTTATTCAGATGTATATCACTGTTTTGGTTTCTTGATGGGAATTTATCATTCCTTTGTAATAATAATAATTTAAGATTCTGAGCTGTTTATATCAGATGAGTGATGTAAATTTGGACGTGTGCTCTTATTCATATATGGAGTTATGTTTATGGTCTATAATTCACAATGTGATGCCTTATTTTCCTTTATTGGGTTGTATTTTATGGAGAAGTGTTTACGGTGGCTTACAATTTGTGATTTTCTCCTTCAGTGATTCTACTTGTTATCATCATGCGTCTTCAATAATGATCAATCATTGATTTAACACTCATATCTGCATCATATCTTCCATCTGAAAGCAGGTGAAGGAGATTTATTACTAATCAAGGAGCCGGCTTTACTGATTAGATGCGCATAACAATATCGTGCAATATATCACCCAGCCCTACATTAAATAAATAAATCAAATTCATTGGCGAGCCACCAAACAATTGCTCGGCTAGAAAAACAATTGATACTGCCTCAATTATACATGCATACTACAGCAGTTATTGGATTGAATGAGCTCTTTGTCATGAATAAATGCTGAAACTGTTAACTTCAGCTCGTTCATCCAGCCCTTTCTGGAGCCCTGGCAGCCAATGACCCAAGTATGAAATAAAAAATGCAAAAATAACAAATTTCCATTTATGGATTGACTTTATGAGTATGTTTCGTGTTTTCAATTATGTGCAGCCTGTACATATTTGTTCAAATCTAAAAAAAAATTAAAAAAAATAAGTGTTTTGGGGTTTCATGGCCCTTTAAGTGTGAAAAGCACTAAAATGTTTTTAGTCCGTCTAAAAATTGGTCAGTAATGTTCTTGATGTTTTTGTTTTTCTTTCAGAGAGTTCAAGAGGAGGAAGATGTGGTGTATGCAGGAGTCGCCATGAGACACTGATCAAACTGATTCTTTTGAGAGGCAGCCATCTTTCTTTTCTCGTCGTTAAACTTGCAAAAGTGGATTCGAACACAACTTAAGTGCACTTTTGCCATTTGCTTTAGACCATGTGCTTAGATCCTTAAAATAGGGCCTAAGATCTTCCTCTGGTCACATATATATTTGGATTGTACCTTTACCTAATTTTTTTTAAAATTTCTTTTTTAGCAGTTTTATCTAATATCAGAAACTCTACTATGCCATTCATTGTGATATAAAGATGTAGACATTTTTAATTAAATATTACTTTTTGTTTCAAAAATATATATATAAATGAAGAAAAGCATGAAAATGAAAAAAAAAGTGTAACGTCAAAATCTCCAACCATTTTGTCAGCCATTTTGACGGAATACATCCGTCAGATACTAAGTGGCAATGGATCTATTATTAGGGGTGGCCCACCGTGGGTAATATATAAGTATTTTATTATACTAATAATATAAATAGTAGTATAATTAGCCTAAATATTGCAATACTTTGCACTACAATATAGATTTTTTTTCTTCCACCACTATCTATTAGCGCAGTGGCCGTCAGCTAACTCTTCACGTCACGTCGCACTTATTATTAGCATCAAGAAATAGCCTATAAAAGAGGAAGATAAAGAAATTAAGAATCATAGATCCATAAACCATTGTTAGGTCTGGTTTGGGGGAGGTTGCGTCCTCCACAGAGTGTACTGTGCAAACTGATTGAACATGTTTGAGGTGAGACATGCTGATAATTTGGTGGATAAGCCACTAGGCATTGTTTAGTGCCAGTTTTTGCTGCTCACAGCATTTTTATTTTGTTTTTAGCACCAATGTATGTTGCATTAAGTTTTTTTTTTTGTACTTCATGTGGACTGCACATTGTGAGCTGCTGCTTCAAAAATAAACCACCACTGGCATTTTGAAATGCATTCCACTGTACTGAGTCTTCCTAAACTTCTCCCAACTCGCAACATGACATCAAGTTCCTCTAATTTCCCCTCAAAGAACTTTGAGGTCTCATGGTAGTGAAAAGGTGACTCCAGAACCTCTGAACTGAATACAAAGTGCTTAAAGAATCCCATAAGTTCCAGCAAGAACCGCAAAGATTGTCAGTGCTCCACCAGTAACACTACTATAGGAGAAAGAGCTTTGAGGCACTTCAATTATGTTTTTAAGTTCCTTGAGTATCCAACAGGATATTTGAGGCACCTTTAGTTTTTACAGTGTATGATGACGGTAACCATGGAAACGGAACAAAGGAACATTAAACTCAGACATTAACAAAACAGGAAAACTAAAAACAAACATAACTCTTATTTAGAAGTACTTTCACGATCACTAAAGTACTTTATTAAAATGTATGTGATGATCAAACTCTAGAAACACCCCTGATCCCAAACACACCTCAAACTCCACCAAGGCTTGGTTGCAGTCCTGGAATATTCTACAGTGGCCATCACAGTCTCCTGACTTGAACCCCATAGAAAATCTCTGCTGGGATTTAAAGAAGCTGGTTGCAGCACGCAAACCCAAGAATATTACTAAAATAATTCGAATTATTACAAGAATAATTCTTCAGAAACTCTGCCAAAAGCTGGTGCCTGGTTGTACATGTCATTTGCAGCAGGTCATTACAGCAAAAGGTGTTTTAGCAAGTACTAAAGATGCTTGCCATGAAGGAGTTGAATAATTTTGAGACCTCAGAAGTCATTAAAAGTTGCATTTTCACTTGAATTTGGGGAAACCACTTGAAACCGTTGTTGTGTTGAGCCAGTTACTTTTGCTTGATGAGTTCATTGCAAACAGTTGAAAGTAAATTTTGCCAATAAACCTGATTTGCAATGGGGGTTGAATAATATACTACTAATTATATATATATATATATATATATATATATTTTACTGATTGGGCTTGCGGTTTTCCTAAAAATGATGGTCACCCACTGCCATTTATACACGCAGTTACAATAACTTAATATGTGGAAGAGCCTTGATATAGAGTGACAATATTGTATTGTAATAGGTAATGAACTTCAAAGTCAATACCAAATTAAAAACTAGTTCGCTCATTATTTGTAATTGAAAAGGTTTAATGACAAAGTATGGTTATGTTTACACTTAAAATAGATGTATGAGATGATAACTTACATCACTAATTATACCCAGCATACATGTAAAATGTTACCAGAGAGAGAGAGAGAAAGAAAAGAGATAAAGAGAGAGAGAAAGAGACCCAGAGAATGAGAAGAGAGCTAGAGCATAAAAGAGACAGAGCAAAGTTACAATCTTCTTTTATCCTTTCCCTGACTGTGTGAATAAAACCCAAATGTGAGACATTCAAGCTGACCAGTCAGATAATTCTAATTTCCTAATCCTAATTTTATGACAATTCATAGACCCCTGAAATGCACAAATCAGTCCCTCTGTGCCTTAGGAACTCCAAATGATCATTGGGGAAAAAGGGGGTGGAAAGCAAATGTCTTTGTTCATTTCAAATATATTGGATTATTTTTAATTCTACACAAACATAAAAAAGCTGTAATCAATAATCACTTAAATTATATTTATTCATGAATGTAACTTCCTCAAGAGTTTCTCTACAGTCGTTTAAGAACATCTCCACTTTCCTGAGTATCTGATTAATCAGAGTCTGATGTCGTTTGCTCTCTCTTCTTCTGTTGAAGACTTCTGGATCTGATGTCATAAACCAGAACAGCAACAGTAGCCACACCCACCAGAGCAGAGAGAGCCAATCGGATCACAGCTTCAGTGAAACCACAACAGTGGATATAGTCTTCAGAGAGAAGAAAAAATAAATTAAATAACAGAAATATGATTCACTTAGTTTGCAGGAAAAAAAAAAATATACGTCTGCTGACAAACCTGCACATGGCTGACAGAGTTGAGTGATGTCCAGATGTGTGGTCTGGTTGCTGACAGGATTGTTGATCACACAGCTGTAGGTGTTGTTATCCTGATATTCCACATCCAGAGGTAGAGAGAGACTGATGCTGAGATCACACACACTGATGCTGGACAATACACTCATTCCTGCGTACCAGGACAGAGTCGCATCACTCACATTCAACACTGATGAACACAACAATGAACAATTTGGGGACAGTCTGAGAACGGAACAGTCTCTGCTGATGACAGGAACTGGCAGACGAGCTGAAAAATATTGGAAAATAAATTTAATTCAGTAAATTATTTCTTTTTAATAAATGTTGATTGTTAAAGAATTACAAGAATGCAACAATGCTCAAACGAATCTGTGTATAATGACAGAATAACTAGTTATTATATAGGTAAATGGAACTATTTAAATAATGGTAAGAATGGGTGACCAATGGTAATAAATGCTATTAGCCATAACCTCTGACTAATGATCAGACTGGCGAGTTTGTGATGCGTGTTACGTTTCACCCAGTCTAAGATAGGGGAAGGAACATTAAAGAATTATAATTTTAACAAAACAATGTTTGGCTCCAAAGGTTACATACCAACACAACAGAAATGTGGTACACACGATTTATTTTGGTTTAACACAAGTAAAGGAAGTTAACACTTCGGAGTAAGAAAAAGCCAAAGAAAATACAGAAATAAAACCTCTAACTATAGGGACCCAATCTACACTTACCTTAATGAAAGAAAAAGGAAAGAAACTACAGAATAGTTCCCTGACTCTCTCTCTACCTTAAACAGGAGAAACTCCCTCTCTACCACTCTTCCAAGTTTGTCTATTTACAATTTATACAAGAAAAAAAGAAAATATCAAGATAAAAATATAACAGTTGGGTTCAGCAACAAGTGTATATATCAACTTAACACTTATTCAGAGGCTTTGAACAACAACAGGAAATAAAGTTTGTATTTCTCTGTTATATCAGTGGATCAGGTCACCATGAAGACTATAACATCACCAAAAAATGACTAACATCAGCTGATATTTTCTCCTACTTTCAATGCGATAACAAATGTTTGTTGAATACATAGTTAAAACAGTCTGAGAAAAATTAATAGTACATAATAAAGGTCAAGAACCCAACTAAAGCAAACAGTAGTGATGTTACGAATGACACTGAAGCTTCGATGCGCGGCTCTCATCCCAAGGCGTCACCTTTGACCATGCTTCAATATTTGACGCTTTAGGCGCCCTTTAGCGTCACTTACATGACGCGATCCTACGGCGTCATCTAACTGACGCTAAAGGGCGCCTAAAGCGTCAGATATTAGGTGTGTTCGACATCGCCTGCGGCTGCATGCAACCGATCGGCGAGAACAGCCGCGTGCATGCGGGGAGGAGCTGCAAACGGAGACGTGAAGTCGGACAATTTCTGGTTCCCGTAGTGACGGCTCACGTGGTGTTTGCATGGTTATACCACAGCTGAAGTGAAATAAATGCAACATTTGCCAAATAAACAGATATTTCAGACTCATTTTCATTCAATACTTTACTGCTTCATACAGCATCTGTTTGAACTACAATAAAGTTCAAAATAAGCCTATAATCAATGAAGTGGAGTCAACGTTTTTTAATCAGTTTTATTTTGATAAACATGATAAACATGACACAATATAACATTGCGACTACATGAAAAGAGTGTTTACTGTTATAAAATACTGATTTGTGAGCTTTAGTGAAACTAAAGGTGTGAGAATAAACACGAAACGCACGTGATCGTTATCATGCGGTGAATCCGGCGAATCGTGGAACAGCTGTGACATCATCAGAGCTCGTGCAGCCGCTCTTGAGAAGCTGCGCTGGCTGAGTCCTCCGGCTACTCTCGTATCGCTCTCGCGGTACTTTGATGGCATATGTCACAGTCACGTGGAGTCAGCGCTGCATCAAGTCGGACAAAATTTCTAACCGGCATGCACTGTTTCAAGTCAGCCGCCGATCGGTCTGCGCAGAGCTGCATGAAGTCGAACAAGCCTATCGAAGCATGGTCAAATGCTTCCCAAGACGTCAGTTAGGTGACGCCTTGGGGGTGAGAATGGGCTAGCGTATCACATATGCGTTATCACAATTTCTAGTGAAGCCCCTTATCGGGGGGTGTATTGGTTTTCCCAGAGTCACGTGATCGATGACAAATGAAGCCTCACTTTCCGTCCGATCACGTGCCAGTTCTGCTTTGGGTGTCAGAAGACTCGAATTCCAGATCTCATTTAAGAAGTCAATGTTGCCTCAGTCTGGTTGATGGGTGTTTGAGGAGAGTGCTGTACTTTGAAAGTTAATAAATATAATTCATTAAGTAACCCAAATGTATTTTTCACTACTTAGTCTATTCTTTTTTTTTTTTTTTTGTAAAATCTTTGCACTTTGGTGATTTAAGTATATATATATTAACATTTTACTTATTTTATTCTTGTAAGTTTCATATAACCGTAAGACTGGAAAACTGGAACTGGTTGATGGAATCAGTCTGACCAGAGTTCTCTAAGACAATAGCATTGCTTGCAGATTAACATTTGACACCCTACCACCTCCACATCCTCTCTCTCTCTCTCAGTCAGTAAATTGAAAACTCTCACAAGAATATATATATGAAGAGTTCAGATGCAAAAGCCTCTAAATGCCATTTGAAATTTTCTTCTAAAATGATCATTTTTATCAAGCTTATATATTCAAGTTCAGTAATTTCACTTAAATGACATTTAATAGGTAATCCTCATTGCAATTTAAGTGAAATTACTGAACTTAAATATACAAGCTTGATAAAAATGATCATTCTAGAAGAAAATTTCAAATGGCACTTAGATGCTTTTGCATCTGAACTCTTCATATATGGTTTTTAATGTGAATGTGATAATCATTGGGGAGTGTTTGGTATCATTTTCAAAGTCTCAGGGTGACTGGTAATAATGTCTCATTCCCAAAGAAGTAAAAGAAAAGGTAATAAGGTTTTAAGAATATAGAAATATCTTGAACAGATATTGAAGGGTGTGTCTTTGAGTTAACACCTTCTGCCTTGTTGTCTGAATGCAAATTACAACCAAGCAAATGGTCTGCCCCCAATAAACATGGTAAGGGGATTCAGTAACTTTCCATTGTATCCTGGTGATTTACATATCAGGTGAGGTCTGATTATAAAGGGAGATGTAACAAGAGTTCGGGGCTGCCTTTCTGTATTCAGATCAGCCCATGATGCTATGTCTTCAAGGCTCAGCTCATGTAGCCTAATGTGTTGGGTAAAGTTCTTTGTTCTAAAACATTTGATGGTTTGCCCTGATTATCTTGTGGAATTGTAATAATACATTTACCTGACATAATAAATTGTTATATTTGGCTATTCTAACAGACTTTGACTTTATTTTCATTAGAGTTAAAAGGAATAGTCAAGCATTAACATATTAAATGATGCACAGATATCATTGATAAACCTTTTCATTCCATGGAGTCAGATGAAACGAGTTAATACATAAGATTAAATGTGTTGCATTTAATTAAAATTCACTTTGCCATGGGAAAGACGGAACACGCTTGAAACCTTCACCACGAATCGAACTCCGCAAATGGGTGGGAAGTCACGGGTTCACGGGTGACAAGTCACGGATTTGACTGCCAGTGCACTTTCACGGGTATAAGGTTGGAAAAACATGAGTTCTGGAACGCGGCAATAGACTCAGCCCCAACACTGTGAAACGGCTTTTATTTCTAAATAAAAATAATTAAAAACTTTATCACCTTTCTGTCATTCCTACAGTTACATAAGCACCGTCACTGCCAAGTGTCATACATTTAAAAACAGATGATCCTATCAGACAATGTTCTTATTCATTATGTGTGTGTGAGTGTGTGTGTACAGAGTGAGAGATAGAGTAGGCACACATTAAATCTTATTGAATCATATAAGCTTATAGTATATTTTATTGTCACACTTTAATGGGAAAAAGAATGTATTAAATGAACAAATCAAACACAAACATGTAATGTTTTTATTTGTACACATAACATTGAAAATCTGTAGTGTGTTGTGGTTGCTTCATCTGCCAGAGCTTCTGGCTGCTTTATTTTAAATAAGCACCAGATGGCGCTGTTCTCGACACTCTCGAATATTTGAATCTTTTCCCGGAACAGTCAGGGGAAAGCCTCATTGCTTCATGAAGCTTCATTTCTATCGAATTAATTTTGAGCCAATAAAAATGAACGTAACTTTTCAAGAAACGAATGAAAATATAAATTGAAACTGAATAAAATATCTTTGAAACTGAAAAAGAATGAACCGCAAGCAATTTTTTTGACTTTGTTTTTAATACACTACATGTTTTGCTAACTATTCCTCATATTTCGTTTACTGATCTACACTTACAAATGCGCTTCCAGAGTTTTCATTTACGCTTCTGAAGTTTTCGTTTACACTCCCTGAGTTTGCGTTCGCAGTTCTGACACAAATCTCTCGTGGGGGCGGGGCTAGTAGCAGTGTATTCTCATTGGCTACTGAGTTTTTGATTGACAGCTTCTTGACCTGGAAGTGAAGACGTCAGTGAGTGTTGTGTTTACACGTTTGGATGTGAGCGTCTGTAAGCGTAGCTTTCTATTTCATTTAGGTGATATTAAGTTTATTTCTTTATTTATTTACTGCTACACTATATTGTTGATATGATTTCTTATTGAAGGAATAGTACAGACAAATGATATAATTTGTCATCGTCGATATCAGAATACTGGATAGCATAGGCTACTCGTGGTAAGTCTGATTGTTTTTATTTTTTTTATTAATTAATACTAAACTAATACTAATTATAATACAGTTCTTGCTTTTTCAGGTGGAGAGGCATATTAGAGCTCAGTGAGAGCCCATAACATTATACAGCAGTGTTGTCTTGATTTAATTGGTAAGTTGTTAGCCCAATCATTACATGTCTTGTTTATCTAACGTTACATACGGTTACAGTCTTCGATTAGATCATATTTGCTTCAATTAGATCATATTTCCCCTCTGCCACCCCAGACAACATTGTGCTAGAGTACTGTACAGTATCTGTACTGTAGCCTACAGTACAAAATGTACTGTATCAGACAATGACCGATGCCATTGGACCAGAGCCCTGTCAATCACTGCCCGGTTCAACTTTGGCAATGTAAAGCCAATTGCTGATTAATTTGTGATGCAGAGTTTTTAAAAGAAGAGAGAGAGTACTTGACCATTTTCCACGTCTCCATTCAT